ATGTTTTTTTAAAGAAGTCTCTTATGCTCATCAAGGCTGTATTTATTTGATCAAAAATACAGAAAAAACAGTAATCTTGCAAAATGTTATTACAATATAAAATAATGGTTTCAATTTTGATTTCCTTTCAACTATAATTTATTTCTGTGATGCAAAGCTGAATTTCCACCAGCCATTACTCCAGTATAAAGTGTCACATGATCCTTCAGAAATCATTCTAATATGCTGATTTATTATTAGAATTATCAATGTTGTGCTGCCAAATATTTGTTTGGAAACTACGATACTTTTTTCAGGATTCTTTGATGAATAAAAAAGTTAAAAAGAGCATATTAGAATGATTTCTGAAGGATCATGTGACACTGAAGACTGGAGTAATGGCTGATGGAAATTCAGCTTTGCATCACAGAAATAAATTAGATTCTAATGTATATTAAAATAGAAAAACGTTATTTTACATCATATTATTTCACAATGTTACATTTTTTCTGTATTTTTGATCAAATAAATGCAGCCTTGATGAGCATAAAAAACTCCTTTAAAAAACATTAAAAATCATTCTGATCCCAAACTTTTGACCGGTAGTGTGTGTATATATATATATATACACACACACACATACATACACAAACAAGACTTATCAAGGCTGCATTTATTTGATCAAAAATAAAATAAACAGTAATATTGTGAAATATTATTACAATTTAAAATAACTGATTTCTAATTTATTATACGTTAATGCAATATAAATGTCTTTCCTGTCACTTTTAATCACGTTAATGGATCCTTGCTGAATAAAAGTAATTTATTAAAAAAAATAATAATTATTTTTAATTTCTTAAAAAAAAAAAAAAAGTACTGACCCTATATATATATATTTCAAAACAGTTACTTAAATAAAATCAAAATGTGAGTTAAATATACTGAAAAGGCAGCAGGTAGATTATGGAACTGGAATTTCTAGTAATCAAACAATTATCTTGATAACCTGATAATCTAAAAATGTCATCCGATTAGTTTGCCAACATACTGGTCTATCACTGTATACACTGTTGATACAGAAGGAAATCAAGGCTGTGGATTTTGCTCCCCGCTGCCTTCGCTTTTTAGCTAACCTTTATTTCATTCATCAGGGATTCTCGGTGATGTTGTTACTCTTTCTTCAAAGCTGTTACCCGCTGTGCACATGCAGCACTCATCTGCTCTGCCCATTTCTGAAAACAATTTGATTCTGTTTGGACCAGGGCCACACATAATTCAAGCTTGGCAGTAATGGCATTTTAGAGCTTTAATAGCAGGAAATTGGAGATAGTGATGTAGCGTCTAATTCTCCCAGTCATTTGGCTGCTTTTTATTTCACATGCCTCGGGAGACGCGGTCACCTGGGACAGTGAGGAACATTTGTATTTGTTTAATAAACCAGGAATTAAATTACATCGACATGTTCAGCTGTATCTCTGAGCCTTGACGTTACTATGGAAACCATAATGGCTTCTGCAAAAAAGCATCAAATGGTTCAATATCAATGTTTTTTATTGCTTTTTTTATTTTTTTTTATTTCCGTAGCCACGTTTTTGGCTGTTTTGTTAGGGTTTTTAATAATTCTGCCTTTTATACAGTATTGAAAAAAAAAAAACAACAACAACAAAATGTGCAGTGCATTCACATTTTCCCAAGGGATTCT